AGCATATAGTGTTCGAGAGCACTAATTTGTGCATTTGTTCATATCATACAATGGGATAGTCTGATTTTCTATTTTTGTGTGACAAAAGCATTGATTTCAATTGAAATTCATATAGAATAGTCTTTCTTTATGTGTTTTTTACTTTATCGTGTACAAAAATGGAGTCATGTAATCATAGAAGAAGGTACTCATACCTTTGTTCTATGAACTAGCACGGCTCGATTGCAAGCCGCCTCTGCCGCGGCACACACCTGACCACACGGACGCCAGACGCCAATGCCGCCACGCTCCACCGAGAGAGCTCCGCCACACCACCAAAAGGATGTCTGAGCCACCACAGCAAACCAGGGTCCTTCGCCTCCGCCTCTGCCTCCGTCACCGCTGTAAGTCCAGTGGGCACAGATTTGTTTCCACTTGCAGGGGATATATCCAATTTAGGTCAACCTGTAGAGCATCCACACAGCAAATAGGATACTATAGTGACTCCAAAGAGATGTCAGCATAGCCAGGCGTCTAGCGCAATGGTAAAGATGCTCTAATCCTTAGTCCAGATCCCATGTTCGACTCCTAGGTATCAGACCTTTTTTTAAGAAATTAAACCCCGACAGCCCACATGGTACAAGTGACACGCAAACCGTTAGGTCCCATGGGTCGGATGGAGACAGAGAAAGGTTCCACAGATACACGTGACACGTAAGCCTCGGGTCCCATAGGCCGAATGCAGAAGGACCTAGCGGAGACTTTTATGACGAATTGCAAGCGTCAAGTGACACACAAGCCATCGGGTCCCACAGGTTGGATAGAGATGGGCCGTCAGGTCCCACAGGTCGGATGGAGATGGAGAACGGTCCCATAGGTACACGTGACACGAAGCCATCAGGTCCCATAGGTCGGATGTTGAAGGGTCCTGCAAGTACACGTCGGACAGAGAAAGGACCGAGTGAAGACTTTTATGACAAATTCCAAGCATCATGAATGAGTAACTATAGGTCCCACAGGTACACATCGGATGGAGAAGGGTCCCACAGATACACGCCATATGGAGATATGATCGAGCGAAGACTTTTATGATGAATTACAAGCGTCATGGATGAGTAACTATAGGTCCCATAGGTACATGCCGGATGGAGAAAGTACCGTGTGGAGATCTATGATGAAGTTGTTCGTTACAGATCAAATATTGTTCATCACAGATGTGTAATTAGTTCAATGACGAACCCCTGTTCGTCACAATTTTAAAGGAGATCGTCACAGATGAGTCACGCGAGTGATCTGTGACGAAACCCTACGCTCTTCTATGATTTTTTTGTGATGAGGCCTGACTTCATCATAGAAAGGGAGGGTTGCAGGATCATCACCACTGATCTATGACGAAACAGAAATATTCGTCATAAAAAGCGATCTTCTATGACGATTTTAGATTCATCGTTAAGATTTTCGTCATAAAAGTGAATATTTCTAGTAGTGTTACGTTCATTATGACGACATCTATAAAAGTATATTCATGTTGGATATGTTTCCAAACAATTTTCTTGATGATAAGTTTTGCGCATAAGATTATAAAGTTTCAAATGTTGTAGTACAAAGTTGCAAAACATTGAGTGCAAAGTTTTGAATTACAAAGTTCCATTTTTGGGTGTACAAAGTTCATAGCATATCATTACAAAGTTTGAAATGAGCTAGTACAAAGTTTATTAATTTAGGTGTAAAGTTTTGAAATCCGACAATTTTGAACCTAGCGATACAAAGTTTATAATGTTTTAAATATGCTAGTAAAAGTTCCTAAATTTAAAATGTAAAGTTTGAAATTATAAAGTTTTAAGCCTTGAAATACAAAATTTATGTGCCAGTATAAAGTCCTCAATTTTAAAAATAAAGTTTGAAATTATAAAGTTTTAAGTCTTAGAGTATAAAGTTTAAATGTGCTAATATATAGTTCCTGAATTTAAAATGCAAAGTTTTAAATCTTGAAATACAAAGTTTTAAATGTGATAGTATAAAGTTCCTGAATTTTAAAAGTAAAGTTTTAAATTACAAAGTTTAAATCTTAAAGTACAAAGTTTTAAATGGGTAAGTATAAAGTTCTTGAATTTAAAATGTAAACTTTAAAATTACAAAGTTTTAAATCTTGAAATACAAAGTTTTAAATGTGCTAGTATAAAGTTCCTCAATTTAAAAATAAAGTTTGAAATTACAAAGTTTTAAACCTTTAAAATACAAAGTTCATGTGCTAGTATAAAGTCCTCAATTTTAAAAATAAAGTTTGAAATTATAAAGTTTTAAGTCTTAGAGTATAAAGTTTAAATGTGGTAATATATAGTTCCTAAATTTAAAATGCAAATTTTTAAATCTTGAAATACAAAGTTTTAAATATGTTAGTATAAAGTTTCTGAATTTTAAAAATAAAGTTTTAAATTACAAAGTTTAAATCTTAAAGTACAAAGTTTTAAATGGGCCAGTACAAAGTTCTTGAATTTAAATTGTAAAGTTTAAAATTACAAAGTTTTAAATCTTGAAATTACAAAGTTTTAAATGGGCTAGTATAAAGTTCTTAAATTTAAAATGTAAAGTTTAAAATTACAAAGTTTTAAATCTTGAAATACAAAATTTTAAACGTGCTAGTATAAAGTTCCTCAATTTAAAAATAAAGTTTGAAATTATAAAATTTCAAGTATTAAAGTATAAAGTTTAAATGTGCTAGTATATAGTTCCTAAATTTAAAATGTAAAGGTTCAAATCTTGAAATACAAAGTGTTAAACGTGCTAGTATAAAGTTCCTGAATTTTATAAATAAAGTTTTAAATTACAAAGTTTAAATCTTAAAGTACAAAGTTTCCGAATTTAAAATATGAAGTTTGAAATTACAAAGTTTAAAATCTTGAAATACAAAGTTTTTAATGTGTTAATATAAAGTTCCTAATTTTTAAAAATAAAGTTTTAAATTACTAATTTTTAATTTTAAAGCACAAAGTTTTAAATATGTTAATACAAAGTTTCTGAATTTTTGAATCAAAGTTTGTTCATCCTTTTTTATTCTGACCAACCTATTACATATTAAACATCTTCTCTCTACTATTTTTTCAAACTTGATTTCTGTCATTTTGTGTTCTAGTTTATTACTTCTACTTATATACGTAAGTGAAACCATCCCCCGCCCGTTCACTACCCACACACCCGCTATCCCAAAAGAGAAAAATAAAAAAGTTGGAGTAAAAAAAGTGGCTTAAAAAAGCCAGATACGAGAACTGAAGATAGCCTAACACAGAATGGGCTGAATGTCACAAGAGAAAAGATAACTAAACTACAGAAGTTAAATGGACCTTGGGCTGAAGCTAGACTGGGGAACCGGACTCTAAAAATGTGGGCCGCCGAGCGCGCGCGCACGTAGCTACTCCGTCCAGCACGCGTGCGTCGCTACTCCTCCGAGCGCGCGCGTAGAGGAAGATCGTGGTCAATTTCCCAAGCAAATATTGAGAGTTGAGATAAAGAGTTGTTGGAGAACGTTTTTTCAACCTTACTAAAAAATCAAGATTGAAAGTGGGTTTTGAAAACTCTAAGAGATACTCTTATAGAATTATTTGATTATTATATAACCTGTCCAAACACTTACTGCAAGGGTTTGCTCTTTGATGGTTTATCAGTAATCCACCAAAACCTACAACGGGGGCTATATGCACTTCCAACGTGACTATATTTGGCTATCAATATTTGCTACAATTAAGATGTGTGGAATGTATACACTGATCTGCGTGCATTTATGTAGATGTAGATATGGAAGAATGAAACTGAACATGTGCCTTAACACAAAAGTTGTGCATTAGAGTTACCATGAATTTACATTCTTGTGTCAAATGGGAAGGCTCATAGACTCATATTTTTGGAATTAAAGGTAGTGCTACCCATTGGAAGAATACCTAGGATAATCCTAAAAATCCCTGATGAAAATTAGCGGCAAAGTGAATTCTTCCTATGTTTTGCAACACTATCTAATTAAACGTAAGGTAAAAGATGTATGATATCAATCCATTCTAAAGTATAAGTCGATTTAGATCCATCTTAAGTCAAACCTCTTTAATTTTGATCGAATATACATAAAAATTCTATAAATTTAGTCAAAAATTGAGAAGTTTGACTTAACCTCGAAGTACTTCATCTGACCACGTAAGGATAAAATTCTTATTTTTCAAGGAGTCGAACAATTTAAACTTTGATTATAGTTATATAAAAACTATTAACATTCATAATACAAAATAAGTATCACTAGATTAATTATAGAATATATTTTTGTATCTTTATTGGAGACACAAATATTAATGCTATTTATTACTCCTCTGTTCTAAATTATAAGTCGTTTTGACTTTTTTGGTACATCTATTTTACTATGTATCTATATATAATAATATGTCTAGATATGTAGCAAAATGGATGAACCAAAAAATTAAAGCGACTTATAATTTGGAACGAATTGAGTATAAACTTAGTCAAATTTGAATTAATTTAACTGCCACAAATTTGATAGTTGCATCCTTTTGTGGACGGAGGGGTAATTAAATAATATTTTTTATGGACGGGAGTAATTAAATAATTTTTTTTTATGAACAGAGGGAGTAATTAGATATTAATTATCTCTATTTTGAAATACTCGAAATTGTTAAACTATGGGCCTTATCTAAAAGAAGGAATGTATAATCTTCGTTAATAACGAGGTGGAAAAGGAATTGTGATAAGTTTAGGGCACATTTTCAGTAAAACTGGGAATGTTGTGCAAAATATAAACAGAAGATAGAAGAACCCTGGCACTGGCATAAAACCACCATATATCCCATTCCCATCTCCTGACCGGCTGACCCGTCGCCAACTCGCCATCTACTGGTCTGCATCTGCTCGAGCTCCAAGTACCCAGCGCCGGCGGCCCGGCCCAGGAACCGCCGTTCTGCTGCGCCGGCGGCGGCGGAAAAAGAGACGGATAGCGTGGGGATCCGGCTGATGCGCCGGCGGCAATGGGCATTTGGGATTCCATTCTCCCCGGCGGCGGCCGGCGCTTCATCAAGCGCAAGGACAGCGACGCCGGCGAGGCAGGTCAGGACTAAGACTCCCCAGCCCCTCGGTCCCCTTCCAATTTCTTGTTGTCGTGCTTGTCATGACTCATGAGAGGGCACTTATGGCATGTATTGATATGAAGTAGGTTGTTCTTGGAGATGATGCGCCGATGTGGTTTCCTGTAATCCTGTTTCACTTGCTCCTCTTTCTTTTACTACTAATCATAGAGATCCCGAGTGCTGCTCTGGTGGATGGAATGTTGTGTGTCTGTGTGGAAGAGAGAGCATGAAATGCTTCATTTTGGCCGTTGCTTCATGGTGTGAGTGACATTGTGGTTCGGATTGTTCATAGCTTTCCGCCTTCCCCCTGCTCACAGGGAATTATGGTTTGGAGATTGCCTCCAGTGGTTTCATCTTTCAGGCTAACGTTAACACATTATGATTGGCTGGTTGCTTTTCGTTTGTTGATGTGTAAATCAACCCGAGAGAACAAGCAGTTGGAAATTGGAATGCTGAAGTCCACTTGCTATCTTTTGCCCTCAGCATTGCTCAGTGTTTGTAAATCCCAGTGTTTGCTCGGTCTTGTTAAGTCCCAGTTTTTTGTTGCTTCTCCTGGTCCCCAGATCAGTTCATCACTTCATCTCTTGCGGCTGCATCCTTGTCATTTTAAAGGCAACGCTTATGAACTATGAAATTGATGGTGATAGCTTCTGGATGCCATGGTGATTTCACTTAGTTTGATTGTACATAATGATCTCTTCCTTCTTGAATGAAGATTTTTGAAAGTTTGATTGCACATGATAGCTATTTCAGCATTTAAGAAAAGAGTTGAGCTTGCTAATAGTTTCATGGCACAATAAATGTTGTTTAATTGAAAATCATGCTTTTAAATCATGAGAATGTTTAAATTACGTTAGTTACAGAGGCAAGTAATTTTTTTTTGGTAACAGACATATTTTGATGCCATTGAATATATTCCATATTATGAAGTGCTTGTTAGGCCCGACTTTATGACTAGTTTTCCATTGCCCTAGTTTTAATTAAATTATGGGTGAAAAGATTGCATTTTAAGAATGTTTTTAATGCTGATATATAGAAACATCTCATTGGAAAAAGCTGCTGCATTAAGTCTTGTCTCACACTCTCTCACTCGTACGTACCAGGTCGGGCACTAGAGGAACTGAGGGGCTCACTGTACAATGACTTTCATACTTCAGAAGGGGCCAAGCGCCATCAGCAGAGACTTTGTGGCCCTATTGTTGCACTGACATTCAACTTTGTGGTTGCTGTTGGGATCATCATGGCAAACAAAATGGTATGGCTGACGTTCCAATCATTTTAAACTTTTCACCGTCTGTCTATTTGCATTTCTTTTATAAATGGTATGTCGTTCCTTGTAGGTGATGGGCACTGTTGGATTTAACTTCCCAGTCGCATTGTCATTAATCCATTACCTTTTCGCTTTGGCTTTAATGGCTGTTCTCAAGGCATTATACTTGCTGCCAATTGCTCCTCCTTCCAAATCCACTCCTTTCTCCTCATTATTTGCTTTAGGTGCTGTCATGTCTTTCTCCACTGGGCTTGCCAATATCAGCTTAAAGCATAACAGGTGACATGAATAATTGATTCCCTGTTTAACTGATACAAAGTGCCCTGCCTTTTCCTCAATGATTATATCTCATAATGTACTCAGTATTGTTTGTTTTCAGTGTAGGTTTTTATCAGATGTCTAAGATAGCTGTAACTCCAACCATAGTAGTGGCAGAATTTATTCTTTTCAAGAAAAAGGTTTCCCTTCGAAAGGTACTGTTCCATTCTTCTATTGATCTACTCCCGCTGTCCCAAAATAGATGACCTTATAGCATTCAAATTTTGTCCCAAATACTTGACCTTCTCACTTTCTAATGCACCTTCTTTTCCCAATACACCTTTCTCTTTTCCAATACATCTCTATCTCTACTCCTTGAGGGGTATTTTGGTCTTTTGGCTTCAGTGTTGGTTTCCATGAGAGATTCTAAAACGACATCTAACATGGGACGAAGGGAGTAATTGTTATCAGAGATTTTTCAAACTGCAGTCTTAAATAATTCAAGAAATATATCTTCTGGATGTAGGTTATCACGCTGGTGGTTCTCATTTGGTGTGGCCATTGCAACTGTTACTGATTTGGAGTTCAATTTTTTTGGTGCTTGTGTAGCACTAGCTTGGATTATTCCTAGTGCTGTAAACAAAATCCTGTGGTCAAATTTACAACAGAGTGGAAACTGGACAGCTCTTGCGTAAGTTGTTACTGTGTTTTATCTCTTCTGTTACAGCAAGTATTTCCTTATGTTTTATACTAACCTCCAGGTTGTCTGATCAGGTTAATGTGGAAGACAACGCCAATTACCATATTTTTCTTTATTGTTTTGATGCCATTGTTGGATCCTCCAGGCCTTTTATCTTTCAATTGGGATTTCATCTGCTTTGTTCGGTTTCCTTCTTCAGTGGTCTGGTGCTTTGGCACTTGGGTGAGTCATAAAATTTGATGTTACATGATTGCCTTTGCATTTCATGGAATCACATATCTTTTTCTTTTCATCTCTCTCTCTCTCTCTCTCTCTCTCTCACACACACACACACACAGGACATAGAGATACATTTCAATGCAAATTTTCACTAGTTTTTATATTTGTGTATTTTAACTTCCATATGGTGGATATTTGTGCATATCTAATGTCTAGAAAAAAAAATCCTGGTTATGCATGTCATACATATTTACTTTATAGACCAGGAGATATGAGCGCATAGGAAGCTCCTTTTTCGAACCTAGAGAACCAATCTTATTGATTTTAATGTTACTATACCAAATTTGGCATCGGGTACATGAACATAATAGGATCTGTAACCTAGAGAAACAAGTAGAACACCTTTTTAATTGTTTTAACTTACAGCATTATTTTATATGCCATATTTCCATGTCCCAGTAATATTGCTATTATGCCCAATCTTGAAAATAGAAATATAGTAGTTCGCTTTACGTTGATAAGGCCTTTAGAATTCAACTCACAAGAAAAACTTTATTTATCAAAAAAAAACAATAATCGTAATTTTTGTCTATGTGATACCCTTTTGGTCTTGAAGGTTCACATATTTTGGGTTTCAGAAATGACAGGGTAAAGTATTTGGTCATTCATTCTCTTCTGTGGCCATCGAATTTGCAAAATTTCTGGATCTGAACCTAATTTTTCAATGTATTTTGGATGCTGCAGGGCAACCTCGGCTCTCGCTCATGTTGTGCTAGGTCAGTTCAAGACGATTGTTATAATGCTCTCTGGTTATCTGGTATTTAAATCTGATCCTGGATTCACCAGCCTCTGTGGAGCTGTCATTGCCCTCGCAGGGATGTCAGTGTATACTTACCTAGGGATGAAAGAGTCGGCCACCAGCGGTAGGAGAAATTCCTTAAATCCAAGGCAAAATTCTCATTTGATGAAGTCCAAGGTTATTGTAGATGGAGAAAAGCCAGAAACAAAGCCCATGGATTCTGTGTAAATTGAACAATTGCCGTCCTCCTGCTAGGTTTAAGAACCCCCATTGGAAGCAGCGAGGTTTGGTGAGCACACTTATGGAGAAAGCTTAACAGTTGTACTTGAAAGTAGTGTTCCTTTGATTCTGCTTTCTTTAGTTCTTTCTTAGAGTGTTATTATTCTTTAGGCAATAGTGGTCAAAATTGTTTTTATCGTTGACCACACATTCATTACATGTAGGAATTATCATTGGGCTCATTCGGCTGCTCAGGAAACCATCCGGAAAACACTGTTCACGGCTGAGAACACTGTTCAATCTCTCACATATTCCTTCAGATTCATCCAGATTTCTCCAAATTCCTCTCAGCGAACAGGGCCATTGATTCTAGTTTTAGGCAATTTTGGTTACTGTTCTACCCATATCCTGTCATGCTTTATTTGTCTTGTGGGTTCTGTTTCTGAGAAATTAGATGAAAGATGGCCGAAAATGGGTCCTGGTTGAATTTGACCTTGTGCATTGCCAACATGTTCAGATTCTAGTTTTAGTTTGTAGTATGCTCATGACATTTGCTTTTCTGAAATCTCACACTTAAAAAGACTTTGGGTTCCGTAATCGTTCATAAAAGGAAAGAACGCACCCATAGGCATGAAAAAAGCGCATGCTATCACAACTCACGAGGAAGCCCTATTCGGTTTGTTCGGCTTCTTTTTTCAGTCGGAATAGTGTTTTTCTCTCACAACAATTCAGTCAGAACAGTATTTTTAAGTTAGTTTCAGCTAAAATTCCGTTAGCCGAACAGGGCTGGCAACCATGTGAAAAATAGGGAATGTACAACCATGTCAAAGCAGAGCAAAGAGAGGACAAATAAAGAGTCAACTCAAAGCTCAGATCCTGAAAAAAATCTCAGCAGTCCGCGGAATTACTGAGTTGCATGAATCAGCAACGGAGCAAGCAGCAATTACTGAACTGCATGAATCAGGCAACGGAGCAAGCAGCAAGCTTTGGCACGTTTGAAGCTCCCCCAATTTATGATTCTGCACAAATATAAAACTATGAATTTCTGAAACAAAGGGCAAAGATTCAGAATCAAAGTTTACATGAACAATTTGCTCAACGTCATGCTGAACTGTTTGCTGGGTTCCGACTATTGGAACAACCAGCACTGGCCTAGCTTACAAATAGATAATTCCGTCCGTCCAAATGTTCATGTCAACGCCAAACGGCAACATATTTAAGTGAGATTCACAAGACTTAATACTGAACCCGAGAAAGTTTAAACCGATAACGAAGTACTTGAAGTTAACACTCATGGATGAATTCATCTTATAGCTTATAATAGCGAGTGCATGAAAAGATTACAACACTTTAACCTTATAAACAAGTGGGAAAAAACAAATCTTGATTTTAACGTACATATCAATTAAATAATTTATGTAATAAGAATACAAACATACAGCTAGGGTCGTCTCTCATGGTTCCTCCGAAGATGGCTGATGATTCGGAGGTTCAGTTTCAATGAGTGCCCACATCTTCTTCAGACATGGAATCCAGTGTTCTCCAGTCTTCTTCACCAGCCGTGCCATTTTATCGAAGGACAGCAGGATGTGAATGACGATGTACATAAAAACAGCAATGACGAGTGCGAAAACGTATATAGAAGTCTTTAGTTTCCTGCAGCTGCCTGCAGCATAAGCCCCAAGCAGAGCAAGAAGGTCCAGCACCATTGCTGTTTTCATGGGAAGGAGAGACCTCTTGTACTTGCTTCTTGTGCTATTGAGCAGCAGGATGACTATGACCACGGATGCCATGAATGCGGTGGCGTTGCAGTAGAAGAATGCCTTGTATCTTGGTGGATCAGTATCGTGGAGGATTGGGTCGCCGGTGAAATGGCCGTCCTGGTCATCAGATCCGAGCCCTCATGGGGGGAGCAGCCCAGCTTGGTATGTAACGCTCACTGCGAGGGTTCCAATCAGAATTAGATCTTTTCGCCATTTATACTCAGATTTTCTGCTGGCCATGATGCTTCGCTTGCCATTCTGGGATGGATGTGGACTCTTGAAAGGAGTGGCACGGAGCACCCACTCAAAGAAGTAATTCACCTTATCTTTTGCAAAGGTTAGCACCAGAACTTGAGCCATGACATAGGCAAAAACAACAGCAACAACTAGGATGGCATACACTGATGTTGATACTTTCCTGCAGCTTCCAGCCGCAAAAGCACCCATGAGACTGACCAGATCAAGTAGCATGCATCCACGCAGCAAGTAGCCATTGATTCCACTCTGGCATAACCTTTTGCTAACAAGCAACATGATCACAGCCAAGGACGACATAAAAGCAGTGGAGTTTAGGTAGAAGCATGCCATGTAACGGCATGGGAACTCATCATGGAACATTGGATAACCTGCTTGGTGCTCATCGTTGTTGTCGGGCCAGAAGCCACCTGGTGGGTTTATGCCAGCCTGATATGTGCTCGATGCTGCCAGAACAGCAAGCAACAAGAGAAACTTGCGCCGCTTCTCCAAATCTTTGAGTTCAGGGTTATCATCTATTTCCTGAGCTGGTCCATCATCAGAGCTTCTTGTGGACACAAAGAGCAGGACGTGAACCATAACATAAGAGAAGACAAGAAAGACCAAGATCATCACATACAAAGATGTGGAGAAGTCCGGCTGCTGCCAGCAGCATATGCTCCCATCATACCAAAGAGATCGAAAATCATGGCTGTCTGCAGTACATATCGTTTCAAGGCACCAACAGTGATCAAGTTGCTCTGGAGTAGGGTGATGATGACCAAAGAAGACACAAATGCGGTGGAATTACAATAGAAGAATGTGTTGTACCGCTTTGGACTGATGGCCTCCAGGATAGGGTTTCCAGCACGATGCCCATCCTCATTGTCTAACCAAAACCCACCAGGTGGATTCAACCCAGCTTGGTATGTAATGGTGGCTGCTAGGATGGCAAGTAATAAAAGGTATGTGCGCAGCTTTCTCATACCATCCTTAGTATCATTAACAGTGTCTGTTGAAACATGACTGGATGTATGTTGTTGATCCAATGCTAATGGCATCTCCTGCTCGTTGGTTGTACTGTTACTCTCCATAAGGAACGATTTTAGCTTCAAAATCAGCTTATCCTTTTCTCCTTTTATCCATTTTATGCACTCGCTGACAAACTCTGGTCTGGGCAGAATAGGTGCAATCCACTGAATGGCGAGATATAGTAGGATAGCAGCGACAAGGGTGAACACATATATAGATGTATGGACTTCCCTGCAGCTCCCTGCAGCATAAGCAGCCATAAGGCCAAATAGGCTCACAAGAACACACAGACGAAGTGCATTCGACATGACAACGTGATCCACTGCTGTGTTGCTGAGAAGCATGATGATAATGACAAGGGATCCGGCAAAAGCTGTGTCGTTGCACGCCATGAAGGCCTTGAAGCGACTGGGATAGTGGTCTTTGAGCGCCGGGTCACCAGCTAGATGACTAGCACTGATGTCAGGCCAGAATCCACCTGGTGGGTCTAGCCCTGCTGCATATGTTACCGTCGTTGACAATGTGGCAAGAACCAGCAACAAGCTGCGTTTCTGCTCCAGTTCTTCCTTTTTTTTCTTGGACAGAGGCACCTAGCTCATCATCTGTTATGCTCTGACTTTTGCTGAACATGCGTGCTAGAGAATCATTCCAGGATCTCTGAACATCCATCAAAGTTTGTTGAAGCCATGGAGATGCTAGATGCCAGAAGAACACTACATGAAGTACAATGTATGTGAAGACACCAACAAGCAGCACCCAAGTATACAAGGATGTTCTGATTTGCCTGCAGCTGCCTGCAGCGTAGGCCCCATAAGCCCGAGCAGGTTGAGTAACATCGCAAAATGCAGCGAGCAGAGCCAAATTGCATTGCAGCTGAGCTTCCTTACTAAGAGCAAGATCAAAACGATCACAGACGCCATGAATGCTGTTGAGTTGCAGTAGAAGAATACCTTATACCGCTTTGGATAAGTAGATTGCAGGACAATATCGCTGGCAAGATGGCCATGCTGGTTATCTAGCCAGAGGCCACCTGGTGGGGCAAGTCCTGCCTGGAAGGTGATAGTTGCAGAAAGAATTAACCAGTATCATCAAGTACTTCTGCAGCTTCCACAGAAGCTCTGCCTCATCAGTACCGCTTGGCGTTTGGTCTCCTTGTTGCTGCGGTTCTTTCTGACTCATGGTTCTTTCAGCCACATGACCGTTTCCTGGCTGCAGTTCAACCTCCATGCCCATAAGCTCAACGAACAAAAGCAAATCTTTGGGTGCCTAACTCTGAAGATTTCAACACTTGCTCTATTTGTAGGGTTGCAACAATATTTCAATATATGCCGATATACTGGGCCTTGTATGTATCACTGAATGTTAGACAGATGTATATGTAGAAATCAACAATGGCGTTGAATCCATTGCCACATTTGCAGGCATAAAGGGCTAAAGGACATATGGTAGGCATTATCAGAATGATAGAAACTTTGGTTTCCGCCACCAAGGAAGAGTGCTTGTCCAAAAAGGAAAACAAAACAACGGTACATTCTATTCAGTCGGTACCCACCTTTATTGAACATAGGAAGTATCTCCTGCAGTGGCATAGAGTGAACAATTCAAAATCCAGTGTGTGCCTTAGGTTCATATTATAGTGATCTGCATAAGATTCTCAGAACAATATCTATTCACCACAAAAGGGGACAATGGTATGGGGCTTGATTCCAATACAGCTTATACAGCGCAGGATACCAAACTCCTTTTCCTTTATTATAAGTTATATGCTTTATTTTCTGTTGTGTATTTTGAACGGGAAATGCTTTGAATACAATTCAAGTACAACCATGCATCTAAACCATCCAATGCATTTATGAGCTTTTCATCCAAGTAATTTTAACTGTAAGATCTTGGGTTGAACTCAAATGATTGTGTGTGTAGTACACATTTTGAAACCAATGACTTACATATATAGTTTGACTATTTAATATCTTAGACTACCAGACGTGCACAAAATCACTGGCCCATGGCTATTGTCATTGTAAGTAGTTGGCTTTCTTGGTTTTATTCTTTTCAACAGCAGCTTTTTTACCTCAACCACTTGGGACTTCAAGCCCTACCACCAAGGTGCATCCTTGTTATTCTCTAGTGCTGATCTTCTCTTAAAGTACAAGACTATGCTTCCAATATATAGAGAGTCTAACATGATGGATTAACATTAGGTGTATTGTGTTGAACTGTAAAAAAAACATACATATAATCCTGTGAGTGCAATGACAGTAAGTTTGGGAGTAGGAATGTATACTTCCCACCCGCTTGTCCAAACGAAGGGTTTGGATCCATCCGTATTCCAGCCCAGGTATTCAATGTTCCTTCCAGATCCGTCCTTATCCGAATCTGGACATTCATTGTCCAACACTAAATCTGAACCCGGATACTCAAAGTTGGATATCTGATACGGGTACTTAGCTTAATGAGTATTTTATTTAGTATCCGAATATCTGTTGACCAAAATTATCCACTCGCATCTATATCCGAGACATCTCATGTTATCCGTGTCGAATCCGAATCTGAGTAATATAATCATTGCCATTTTCCATTAAAAAGTTAGTTATATTTCAACTAATGTCAAAACAATCGTATGCCCTGTTTATTCCTCCGCCTGCTTCATGGCCTGCTGCAGATAGGCCAGGAAAATCCTGGTTCTCACTCGTACAACAATATTTTATTAACTACCAGTTCATTTTTATCAAACACTGATGGAATATTACCTCATGGGCATCATACTGGCAGGTGCATCCTGGTAGGGATTCGAGCTCTCGTATCTACTTGGGTCAAGACATAACGTTGACCATCTCCTGTCAGAATCATGCAACATTGCACTGACCTAGAACAGAGGAATTAAATCAGTAGTGCAAGTCCACAGATCATGTTATAGGTGAATTGTATCCACAGATTAGTCCTGCCAAAATATCTACTCCATTGATTTCCAACCTCTGACTGAAGGGACAGTTAAAGAACAAACACAGTTACAGTGTGCAAAAAGAAACCACAATGGATACAGTAAAACAAAGAAAACAACGTAGGGGAAGATCCAAAACATGACAAATGCAAAAGTAACAACACACAAGAACCTCAAGAGCCCCTGAAGGCTGAAGTCATAAGAATTAGTGAATTTTGGCAGCAAGATGGAACCACAGCCCATCCATGATCCACTTGATTGCTTCATTTCCAAAGAGATTTATCAAAATATATACATTTACTCAGTGATCTTTGGAAGGCTCATCGATTTCTCTATTTGCATAAGTTGTTCCAATTAATAAGTTAGTTGTGAAGGTTATTTTGTCCCAACTCACCAGGTGGGCTATTGTCAATTAGCATCCTACACATTACATTACCCTGTGGCTCTGATCCATTACTCATTTAACAGTTTCCATTAAAAGGTAATGTGCAGATGGTTAACTGAGAAAGAACTGCCTTCAAACCTCAGTACTGATTTTTGCAAATGTGAAGAGTAAAGCATCACCAAGGGAATGATGCTATACAATGACTTTAGGAAAACAGAAACATTGAGATAAAAACTTTTAAGTAGTATATATCAGGCATTCAATAAATGCCACATCAAGAATACAATTACACAGCCAGAGGCATCTCCCCCAGTCTACAATTACACAGCAGATGGCTGAAGGCTTAAAGGATCAGTTTCGATAGGTGCCCACATTTTTTTCAGGCAAGGAATCCACTTTTCTCCCTTCTTTCTGACCAATAAAGCCACCTCATCGAATGACAGCAACACATGAATCACAATGTAAATGAACACAGCAATGACAAGTGCAAAAATGTATGCAGATGTCTTCAACTTTCTGCAGCTGCCTGCGGCGTATGCTCCAAGGAGACCAAACAAGTCCAATACCATTGCTGCCTTCATAGCAAGAAGAGATCTCCTGTACTTACTTATTGTGTTGTTCAACAAGAGGATGACCATGACCATTGATGCCATGAATGCTGTGGCATTACAATAGAAGAACACTTTAAACCGTGATGGATGGGTATCATGGAGGATTGGGTCACCTGCAAGGCCTACCTTGTCATCAGGCCAAAACCCACCTGGCGGGAGCAGCCCAGCTTGGTATGTGACAGTGACTGCAAGAGACCCGATCAGCATCAAATCTTTGCGCCATTTGTGTTCAGTTCTCTTTCTAGTCCGGATGCTTCTTTCATGATTCATGGATGGCTGTTGGAGCACAGAAGACCTAAAGGTGTACATCCTTATCATTCCCAACAAATTGTTCACCTTGTCTTTTGCAAATGTTAGAACCACAACTTGAATCATCACATAAACAGACACTGCAACAACGACAAGGATGACGTACACAGATGTTGAAACTTTCCTGCAGCTTCCAGCAGCAAAAGCACCCATAAGGCTGATCAGATCAACCAAAACACATGTGTGCAGCGCATAGACCTCAAGACCCTTGTGACATAGCCTTTTACTAACAAGCAACATAATCACAACCAAGGATGCCATGAAAGCTGTTGCATTGAAGTAGAAGAAAACCCTGTAGCGGGTTGGGAATTCATCATGGAACACTGGATCACCTGCTTGGTGGCCATTATTGTCACTCCAGAATCCACCTGGTGGGCTTATGCCAGCTTGATATGTGATGGAAGCAGCCAGAATTGCAAGCAACATCAGAAACTTGCGCCGCTTCTCCAAATCCTTCTCTTCATCTTCATTCTCCACAGCATCATCTCTTCTGAGTCGTCTCTTGAGAGCCAAAGATAGCAGAACATGAATTACAACATAGGTGAAAACAAGAAGGACCAAGACAAACACATAAAGGGACGTCGAGAACTTTCTGCTGCTTCCAGCAGCATAGGCCCCCATAAGTCCAAAGAGATCCAGTGTCATGGCTGTTTGCAGTATGTGACGCTTCATGGCACTAACGGTAATCAGTTGGCTCTGAAGTAAGGTAATGATCACCAAAGATGCTACAAATGCTGTGGCATTGCAGTAGAAGAACACCTTGTAACGCCTTGGATGCATGGTCTCCAAGATTGGGTCCCCGGCAATATGCCCATCATTGTCTGCCCAAAAGCCACCTGGTGGATTTAGTCCAGCTTGATATGTGACAGTGGCAGCAAGGATACCAAGCAATAGGAGATATGTGCGCAGTTTTTGGATGTCATCTTTAGCATCACTAAAATTGTTTGATGTATGTTGTGTATTGGGCCCTGACAGGGTAGTATGCTTGCCATCATCTGGATTCCCACTCCCCTTCACAATGAAAGAGCTCAGTTTCTGGAGCACTTCGGTCTTCTTCTTTCTCATCCATCCAATTGACTTCTCTATACACTCTGGTTTTGTCACAATAGGTTCAATCCACTGAAGAGCAAGGTAGAGCAAAACCGCACCAACGAGGGAGAAGACATAGATAGATGTACGGACCTCCCTACAACTCCCAGCAGCATAAGCCCCCATAAGCCCAAAGAGGCTCACCAGCACACACAACCGCAGAGCATTTGACTTGACGACATGATCCACTGCTGTATTGCTGAGGAGCATAATGATGATCACAAGGGATCCAGCAAAAGAAGTTGCATTGCAGACCATAAAAGCCTTGAATCGACGGGGGTAATGATCTCGCAGAACTGGATCACCGGCAAGGTGGTTAGGCTTGTCATCTGGCCAGAAGCCACCTGGTGGGCTTAGCCCTGCAACATATGTCACTGTCGCTGCTAATGTGGCAAGAACCAGCAAGAAACTGCGATTCCGCTCCAATTCTTCCCCCTCATCATGAGCCTCCCGATCATTCATCGGAGTTTCCGGCTCATTGCTCTGTGTTTTCCTGAAAATGCTTGCAAGGATATCCTTCCAGTATTTCCGGATATTCATGAACATATCCCACAGACATTTAGGCGCCAGATGCCGGAAGAATATGACATGGAGTGTGATATATGCAAATATGCCAACGAGTAATACCCAAATGTAAACTGAGGTCCTCACCTCCCTGCAGCTCCCTGCAGCATAGGCACCCATGAGCCCAAGCAGGCCCAGTACCATTGCAAATTGTAGTGCCCGAAGCCAAACCACATTGCGGCTCAATTCCCTGACCAAGAGCAGTATAAGGACAATGAGTGATGCCCCAAACGCTGTTGTGTTGCAGTAGAAGAACACATAGTAACGCTTGGGGTAGCTAACTCTTAGCACAATATCACCGGGGATGTGATCATTCAGGCTGTCTTGCCAGAACCCACCCGGCGGAGATAACCCTGCTTGGTAGGTGATGGCTGCAGCTAGGATAGCCAGCAGCATCAAGTACTTCCTCAGCTTCCATAGGAGCTCAGCCTGAAGTGCGCTAGGATTTTGGACAGCCTGGCCTTGCTGCAGCGCATGTTGTTCTTCGGGAGATTTGCTAGCCATATGGCCATTGGTAAGCTGCTGTTGAGACTCCATAGGCTTGATCTTGGAGCAAAGTAAATCTCTATTTTGTCTCTGAAGATTCTAACATTTGGAAAGGAGCATGAGCTATATGCAGAGCTCGCTCCGTTTGGATACACCTCCACTAGGTAGAAGGAGAAGGTGAGGAAGATAAGAAATAAGAGACAATGGAAGCTCTGCAGTCATATAAAGATTCCAATGTCCAAGACATGGGCCGCTTCAAACAGACAGAAGTGTCAGCAGCCAAAAAAGACACAGTGAAGTGCAGCCTCATCTAGTAATTGAAGTTTCTTGCAGTGGACCACACAAACAGCTTTTACTCTAGTCAATTATGTTAGGTTCACATCACAAATTTCCACATGTCCACTTAACTCTGAGGAGGCATTGTCTAATTATGACAACGGCCTACAGAAACATCCAATGAAGTTTCCATCAAAGGGAGGAAAGAACTAGTCCACCAAACCATATGCTTAGAGCACAACTGTGTTGCTTAGAGCGCTATACATTGGTTGTTGTAGTTGGTGGGTCCTACTGGCAAGACTCATGCTGATATTTTTCGAAGACAACGTGTATTTTGCATAAGTTGGCCGATTGTCCACATCACAAGGAACCCAAGTTGCATTATTTCATAGTAAGTTAATGCCATTTGAAGTACTACCGGGATGAAGGCTGAATTGTTTTATACTGGTGGAACGAAGTGGACAAGTGGTGACCAATCACAACTTTGTGCTAAAGATTTTCTAATCCGACTCTTTCTTTCCGTCCCAGGAACACGTCTAGTTTTCCGTACTCTCCCAGTCGATCCACCGCACAGAAATTAGAAGCTATTTGAACTGTTGAAATTAGAAGTTTTTCAACTCGGCAACGTCATCAGAAGAACGTGCAGAGAAATAACTAGGCAAGATGGTAGCTGGTCAGTGGGCACGAACCTGGTACAGTCCGACATGTCGGCATGGTATGCGCCTGCAGGTCGCATCGCGCCCACAGGAGTGTAGGCAAGATGGTAGCTGGTCAGTGCACACCGTCGCCGTCCCTGGACGGCCCATCCTTACGCACGCACGCATTTTGTCGAACACCAGCCGGGCAGGGCAGGCAGACCGCCGCCGCTTGCACGGGCGTTCCGCCAGACACCGCCCTTGAGCCCACGGCGAGCACATCCCCGCCTGTCCGGGTCTCTGGGACGAGCCACAGCGCCGGCGTCGTGAGTTTGCACTGTTCGATTCAATGGGTGCGGGCGCACGCATCAGGTACGGGTACGGATCGAGCGGCTGGCTTTTCAGCGTGAGAAGCGCGGGTGTCACCAGCAGTTGGAACGGGCGCAGCAGTTGGGTACGAATAATCAACCATGCGCCCGTTGAACGTACAGTCTTTTGTTCTCGTTCCTTATTATTGCTCCGTACGTGTAAACAAATATTTCATGTCAAGCGTGTCAACGATTCAGGGCTAATTGTTATTTCCCTTCCAAATTACATGACATTTTTTCTTCTATAGATATATTGTTTTTACATGTATCTAGGCAGTGTATAGTAAAAATTACCAAAACACTTTACAATTTACTTCATCTGCCCTGAAATATAACGTAGCTATTTTCAGACAAAACAAGGAAGAGTGCAATAGACGCGTATACCCTCTTATAACTTCCTAATTTATTGTAATCCGATTCTATTCCCCATGATTAAAAGGTGGGCTCTTAGTTTCCTTATATAAAAAATATGGCAAGTACTAAATTAAGTATTTCTATTTAGTAAAACATTACTATGTTTGTTCCAAATTATAAGCTGTTCTGACATTTCTAGATTTGTAAGTTTTATATATGTTATGTCTAGATGTACAGTAAAAGTTATAAATCTAAAAATGTCAAAACGTCTCAGGGGCGAAGGGAGTATCTTCCCCCTTCCTGAATCCCTTATAATTCACGATAAATTTCAAATGTTAGAATGCGCTATGTTATAGGATAAATTGAGTCGAATGGATGGAATAGCTAGGTGATTTTTAGTCATAGCTCATTCAAAATGCGGTGTAATAGGTAGGCTAATTTTTTAGCCAAGTCTTCGAGCCTAAGGCTTCATGAATGATTTTTTTTCATTGATTGCGGTAACCCAATGATGAATGATCCTGAGCACCGGCAGAGTAGTTAGGCCGAGGAAGCGACAATTACACTCTAAAATGTATATTATGAATTACGAAAATGCTCTGACGAGGGTGTCCGGATGATGCTCCATTCCCTACGCAGCGATTGGGCCCAACAGGCAACGGGCCTTTGGCCTCCCCAACTCATTGTCTCATGCGAATATTTCCCCAATCTAGACCGCAGCGCCGTCCGCCTGCAGTGACCGCATCCACCACGTCCGCAACCCGTCGTCCACCGCCCACTCTGCCTCGCCATCGCGACCATGCCCATCGCCCCCATCTCGCGCCATGCCGCCCCAATGTCGCACCACGCCGTGCCCCATCCCGCATTGCAAGGCTTGTCCCCCTGTCGCGCTCCCATCCACCTCGCCCAATCGTAGCCATGGCGTGCACCACGCCACCACCACCCCGGCGCCACCAGGAGGAGGTCAGCAATCATTGCTCTTGAAGTCCCCCAAACCCGAGTTTGTTGGCTACCGTAGTTCCACATCAGGTAGGTTGTGGTCGCTGGCGACATGTTTCTAAGTGTTTCAGACTTATGTTTCAAGTGTTTTATCTGGATGTTGAAATAGTAGATCTGCAATGTTGCAATGACAGTATATGCATGTTGCAAGCCTATGTTTCAAGTGTTTCAAACATATGTTTCAAGTATTTTTATCTAGATGTTTCATATATTACTATGGCTCTATACTCATGTTTCAAGCGTATATTTTAAGTATTTCAGCTGACTAATGTTGCAAGCGTTTTATCTGGATGTTGCAAAAGTAGATATTGCATATGTTGCTATGGCTATATACACATATTTCAAGCGTATATTTCAAATGTTTCATCTGGATGTTTTAAAGTAAATCTGGTAGAGCACATGTTGCAATGCGTCGATCGCTAGCAGACAGCAACATGCCACAGCCGCCTGCTACTGCTGGGGGCGGCGCCGTGGGTCACCATGCGAGGCTTGAGGCCGACAGACGCCTCCACGGCACGCATCCGCAGGCGGGGCAGATGACTAGGACACATGTGGGGCCTAGGGATGGGCGCGAGATGGGGGTAGGGGCGTGGTGTGGCGTCCGTACGCGGAGACACAGACGATGGATGGGATGCAGACTCAGGTTGTGGGATGCAGTGCGGGATAACACGTGGGAGCTACGTCCGGACACTCCGTCCATCCGGACGTCCAAGTGCTAGCCCTTCGGTACGAATTATGAACTGAGAAAGAACTACTTAACTGTACTAGTATATTGCTCGTGCTAATGCCACGGTGGTATTTTAGGTGATGCAAGTAACAACCAAATGCTATTGATCATATGAATCAATCAAGCAAAAGCTATAATCATGGGAGCTAATCTGGTCCTTGGATAATGAATTGATCAAGAAAACATCTCCTGCATTCTTACAATCTTCAACGGTATACTCTTCATTCCCATCCACGAAACACCCTGAAAAAAAATCATTCCTTAGTTTCTATACATATAGACCAAAAGAACTGCTGAAGAAACTATATTAGTGATCTTGTGACGCTTGTTTGCTATCCAAAACCGAGCAGTAGATTCAAAATCATTGGCCAACTCCAGACCCAAAATGTCTGCAACCGTTACCCAAGCATAGGACAGGAACCTACCTCTCCAGCCGGCTATCCTTTTCATAATCTTATCTATGACTGGTTGTAGGTCCTGTTTTCTTAAATTGGTGTAGTGGAGGGGAACCCCCAGGTATTTGATAGGAAACTCACTCCTTTTGCAACAGAAAATCCTTGCAAAACAATTTGCAGCATCTTCATCTAGCCCAAGCTACATCAATCTACTTGCCCTATAGTAATTTCAGAAGGAAACAATACATCAATCTACAGCTAAGCTCTAACTTATATCTTTCAGGAGCTACCTTCATAATATTTATGATGCACACATCTGAAAAGTTTTAGATGCATTCTGTACTGACCATCCGATATGTATGGAAGTCATTCATCCTCGGTGCAGCAGCTGCGTCCTGCGACGTGATGGTGGCAGGCTCGTGCCACCAGCCCAGGAGAGTGATCCCTATCTGGCCTCCTTGTCTTGCCTACACTGCAGAGTGATTGATCAATGCTATGCACAAGTACCGTCTGCCAACCATTCTTGTTCGCTATATACTGTATTTTTACCATTCTTGTTCGCTATATACTGTATTTTTTAGATTGAAAGAGAGACCTTGTAGTATCAGTTCATCTATGAGATTATTGTAGTATTCCAAGCCTTTTGGGTTGTTCTTTCCTCTTCCATCTACACAACAACATCACAACTGTTTTTTTGGTAAAAAAAGAAAAATTTACAACTATAATTTTACCTACCTGGAATCAGCCTTGGCCAAGCAATGGAGAGTCTGTAAGCATCTAAACCCATCTCATGCATAAGCTTCACATCTTCATGACAAGAAAATATTTTTGATACTTGCCTTTAAGATTATGCTGGTACTCCCTCGGACCATGTAATGGTGATACTGACAACTGTACAATTGCAAGCGCTATAGTATACAGACCTTGTAATGGTGATACTGATCTGCTGAAACATCTGCAGTGGACCCATCGTACGAAAAACCTATCATCATAGCCAAATTTCAAAACATTCAAGCTGTGAGCACGATTTGAAGACCAACACAAACCTAGCAGTTCTTCGAAGTGCGAAGTGTGTCAGTAGTTATCTGAAGAAATTATCTGGATCGATGCTAGGTGTTCTCCCATCCTCTGCAGCTGCCCCTTCCACCTAATGTATTCAAATAATTGAGCTCTTCAGCAAAAGTCCAGGAAGTAAACGGTTTTTGGGATCGGGTCAGCCCAAGTGTTCGGTAAACCCCTTCTCCCAGACTAAAGTTTCTCCCAGACACTGAAAAATGATGTCAACCCGAGCGATCGACCC